GAATGATGTGCATCAGGAACCTGTAATGTCTAATATATGTACCAAGTTTGAACAAAATCCATCCATAAATGCCAGAAATGCTTGATATTTGATGATTGTTTAGCACAAAAAAGGCCGTCATTTGGCCATTTTGAATAGGATCGTCAAACCAATATTTCTGTCTATGACATGATGTATAATGAATATTTAACATTTGAACATAATCAGTGAAAGCAAGTCAGAGATATGGCACGAGAACCACATTCATTAATACAAAATGGCCACCAGTCGGGCTTTTTGAATCTTATCTGAAAAACAAAATTATTTGCATCAAGGTTCCATAATGTCTAATGTATATACCAAGTTTGAACAAAATCCATCTGTAAACAGCCGAGAAATGGTTGATTTTTAGCACAAAAATGGCCACCATTCGGCCATCTTGAATCAGATTGTAAAACAAAATAATATGCATCAAGGTCCTATAATGTCTAATGTATATACCAAGTTTGAACAAAATCCATCTGTATACAGCCGAGAAATGCTTGATTTTGATGATTTTAGCACAAAAATGGTCGCCATTCGGCCATCTTGAATCAGATCGTGAAACAAATTGACGTGTATATGTATAATATCATGTATGATGTATGTGTGAAGTTTGATTGTGATTGTTCCAGGCATTTCTAAGATACAGGTCCAGACGCACGCACAGACACACGCACGCACGAACACACGGAGGTCAAAATGTAAGTGGACTAAACAGGGACTAAAAAACATTTTAGAACAAACATACTGGTAATTTTGAATATGGAAAGTAATCATTTACATTACTACTTAGTGTACTCATCTCAAATGGTAAAACACTAGTTCCAGGGACCTACTTTAATTTATGCAAGGTTTACTTGCAATTAGATAGTGTTTTTGATTTAAAGCATGAACTTTCCTATGTTGTTTATGCATACTTCATGACAGGGTAACATTGCTTAACACATTGCCTACTGACGCCATCCTATTTCCAATTATTTTGCCTATCTGTGACGACCTATCTATGATGACCAATCTGTGACGACTTTTAGCAGGTGATGTGTAAACAGAGTCATGGACAAATTTAGCAGATGTTTTGCCAATGACAATGAACCAGGCAGCTCCAAGGACAGCTGTTATCTTATTGTATGAATACAAGACAAAATAAAGCAATAGTCAAATGCACACATGACTCACATCTTCATTGGTGGTTAAATTGGAAGCTGTGAGGTAGCTATGGAAGCCAGTCAGTGCCAGCACAGACCATACAGAGAAGAAACAGAGCAAGATTTCTATAATGGTGAAAATAAATGTTAAGGAAGACGAGGATGCAAGATACAATGGTGATGTGTAGAAAGATAATGACATTTTAACAATAGAACGAATGATAAGAGAAGATGACATGCAATGGAGGAAGGAGTAAGCAAGATGTAAAGTGAGTAATAGCAAAGCAGGATGAAAACTAAATTAATAAAATTGTTGACCTTCTCTAATCTTATTCAATAAATGTAGAGGTATTCACACATATATCCACATACATGTAATAGTAACTACGCTACAAGTACATGTCATATAAATGTACATGCAACAAATTAATAGAAACCTATTATCTAAACCATGCCTATATCAACACAAACCAAAGCAAAAAAAAATCGAAACCAGTCTGTCATGAGAATGAATGTTAGAAAAATTTATGTAAAAACAAACAAAAGGATATCTGGCAGGTGTCTGTTTAATTGCATCAAGAAAACTCCCAGCTTCATTTGTTCCTGGAAAAAATTAACAGTAAATTAACAGCATTAGAAGTACATTGCTTGATAAAAAGCATGGTACATAAACATAGATTGTCTAAAATGCAGAATACTGATTTAAGTTATAAGATATACTTACTGAGAATAAGATGCGTAATAACACATGCAAATACAAACACACATAAGAACGCCAGTGATAAAATAAACATATAGAAGTATCTGTAGTTTCTTTTTCCAACACAATTACCAACCCATGGACAATGGTGATCAAATCTCTCTGAAAAACAAAGGGCAATATGTTAA